GGCTAGAACGATGACAATAGCCACACCCAACACGATAGCTAACGCTAAAATGGCTGTTAAAATGAATTAAAAATAAGCATTACAATTACAGACAATTACAGCATTACATTTTTGGTCATATAAGATCTGAGCTTGAAAAGAGGGTGAAGAGTAATGCTCTTGATGTAAAAGTGATAGGATGGGTATTTAAACCTCAACTGGCAAGAAATTATTTTCCTTTGGTACAGGCATAAATAAAAATAAAGGGTAATATACCTGTTTGGCTGTTACTCTCACTGGTTTCGCTCTCTTGTCTTTCTCTTAAATATACATCATTTTCTGAAAAAGAAAAAGCGGTATGTCATAAAAAAAAAAAAGAGTTCCTTTAATATTAAAAACAATCTTTCAGAGGAAAGAGCAGGTGTAAAACCACTGCTGAAGTTGGAAATTGTTGGTAAACTCTTGAACTTGTAACACAAGTTAGTAAAGGAGTTCTGAAGTGTGAAGTATATAGATCCAAACCTATTTATAATACCCCAAATGCCACATAAACACTAACAAATAGCTATCAATTTCAATCAATAATTCATTCATTTAAAATAGGGATGTCAGTCATTTTCAATCGTGGGCCAGATACAGCCCACTTTGATCTCAGTGGGCTAGACCTGACCAGCGAAACTATGTGAAATTACAGGTCAAGTTGTGATATTTTATTGCCCTGATTGTCTTGTAATTAAAAAAAATATGAAGTTTCTGTAATTCACATAAAATGTCATTTTTATTTTACTGTGAAATCGCTGTAAAAACAAACAAACAAACAAACAAACAAAAAAACCCCCAGGGGTGTTGTTACAGGGCCAATTTTGGCCCCCGGGCCATATGCTTGACACCATTGATCTAAACAGTAAAACCAAGCAACCTGTTACTCTTTAGCATGAAGCAATGATGGAAATAACTTAATATTAACTTGCAGATTTCCTTTGGCCAAACACTTTGACAGTATAGACAGAACGAATTACATTTTACTGCTTCTCTGTATGTTAGCATCTTTTTACTAATCTGACAACTAGCTAATATTCGTGTCACCGTGCGACTCGGCTATAATTCATACGGTTCATGAGTCTCATTCAGCCGTATTCAAATTATGTGCAATAATGTATGGCCCAAGGTTTCAGTATTGATTATCATCACCTCCAGCAATAAATGCATATACATTTTTTGGACCATATGGTAACGCCAGTTTGTCATTATACAAACAGTTCCATATTTACAGACCCAACAATCATGTAGCAGAGTTGGCATTTAGTTGTTTTCACCTGAAACAATATTTAGTTGGCCTTTTTCCTCACCAAATGATCACTAGCTAGTTGTTGGCACCAGCTGGGCAGTAACATACAGTTTATCAGGGCTTTTTATGGTCCACAAATGGCTCAACGGTGAGATAAAAGATAACGCGAAGTCCACTGTGGAGCTGGCTTCTATCTTTTGTGGGTTTGTGGTAGAATTAATTTGATAAAGAAGCTAAAACTACTGGAAAATAATTCATTTACAGTTCAACTTGTTTACAGTTCAACTTGTTTACAGTTCATTGTGAGAGCTGTGAACTGCTCCATCAGGACAGGTGTGACATGTCACATGGGCACCTCTAACAAAGGCGCCCAAACTAAACCCGAGGAAAACAAAGAACCATTTAAACTCACGTAGCATAAAAATGGAATGAATAGGAAATTGTACTATCATATATGAAGTCTGGGATTATGTGTACTAGAAATATATAAAAATAAAACCCTACCTGTGACACCACGGCAATAGTCTTGACAGGCCTCCTCATTCTCAAACTTGTTATCATTTCCTCCGCAGCCACCGTAGTTGAAGCGCAAACACTTCTGTTCGATGGGTTGGTAGTACCACTTAGTCATACTGTCCCTGCAGTCTCCTGGGTCGGGAGTTTCTGTGCAGTGTGCTGTGAATTTCAATAAACCACCACTAAGGTTACATAGATAATAACAGCCTGTGCTACATTTAGAAATAGCTAATTATTTAGCAAATAAACTCTAGAGAATGGCTTAGAAGCTCCAATCACCTTTTTTTTCATTGACTGGAATCTGCCGCAGAATCTCAAAGTTGTTTTTCACTGACGACCACACAGGAGACAACACCAGTTAGCATGGCTTTCAAGAAACATTTTATCAGAGTGCTATCAAAGCCCCATTTGTCATCCCACAAGCCCGTTAGCTATTGCTCACACTCGTCGCAGTTCTGCTCATCAGAGCCGTCGGTACACTGTGGTGTTGAGTCACACTCAAGTGCAGGATCCAAACAGCAACCATTAGCACAGGTGAATTGTGTCGCATTACACGGAGCACCGCATTTTTCTGCTGTGACACACAAACATAAGGGAAAGTGTCATTTGTACTGCTCTATGGCCTAGATAGATATTTGCCCTAGATAACTAATTATATCCAATAGCTAATGAACCATCAGACAACTATCACATAGAGTTGTGGTGAACTTAGCAGTCAGGCCATAAATTGACATAGTTTTGGTTGTGAGAACAGGTTTTTGTCAAATGGCTAGAAACACAGCTTCAAGGGAATTCTGATGGTGTTTCATAATTGTGTAAATATGAAACTATGTGTCAGTACAAATACATTTGTAAAAGTAAATAAATCACTTTTACATGTTAGCCAGTCCCTCATTAGGAACCATTCAGTTTGGCATCAGAGACTAGGAGAGCAACACTGAGGTGACCAAGAAAAACATACAGAGTAGAAAAAGTAGAGATGCATTTCCAGTTGTGCACATGAGGCTTCTGGTCTTTTGTTCCGTGACCATTATTTACCTACCTTGATTTTTATGAATAGGTAAACCTCTACCAGATCCTTTTACTGAAAGAAATAAAACAAAAGGAGATTATGATTAAATGAAAATGATTTGTAAATTTTTTTTTACCAGGGAGTAAGCTACAGAAAGACATTAGTATTGAGATTTTCCTCAAATAAAAAGGGGTTTGATAATATTAAGGAGAAGAAATGTTCATTTCTTTTAATTACAAACTATCAGTGAAGCCATAAAAAAGAAGTAAAAGTAAAATCTTAAAAAAAAATTATTACAGTGGAATTGAAACAAAAGTACAGTTAATTCCCATCTTGAATTTGAGTAGATTTAAATCCAGACCGAAACAACTGTATTTGAGAATCTTGGAAAATTACACCGAGCTTTTAGATCAGGTCACTGACGTGTCCTGACGGTGACATTTCACCTCTTCAGGCAGAAAGACGACAACTTTCAGCAATAGTCTGCTATCTCAGAATCACTCAACAAAGAGGCTGAGGAGGTATTTTGTCCCTTGGGCGATCAGACAGTATAACACCTGGGGGGATGTTTTAAAATTTTCAAATATTTTTTAAATAATCAATGAATATATTTTGTATTGTATTACTACTACTTCTAGGTTTTCTGTTAACTGCACCTGAGGAGACATTTACACCTACTCTGGAGAGCAGTCTTGACTTGTTGTGCAGAGAAAAGTATACATTTTCTTTACCATACAAAGGACTTTGCACTTATCCATTAGAATCGTGTTCACCGGCATTTTTTGGCTTTGAAGTCTCTACCTGATTTTTCCTTTATTTAAAAAATAATAATAATAATTCATCTTCACTTGCAGGCTCACGTGATTACCTCTCACAGCAGGAGCTATTTGGAGAATGAAACAAAGCCAAAGTCTCACAGCTCTGGGCTCTGTGTGCTCAAAGAGCTGAATCTCTGACACAGTTCTGTCTGTGCTGATGTAACTACTCAAACGAAAGCTTAGACCTGAACCTGACACTTCGTGGCAAAAACACTTGTTTTAAATTGAAGGGAATGTTCTAAAACAGGGCTTGAAAATGTAAAAGATGTATACCAGGGCAAGCAGTTACAGTTTGTTCTATATATATATCCTCTTATAATCTGTAATGTGAATTGACACACACATATTAATGATCTGTCAGTCATTTAAATGAAAAACAACAAACAGAAGAATAAAAGCATTGATCACAGGTACCTGAACCGTGGCAGGCCTTAACGCACTCGCCCTCGGTGAGATAGTTGTTGAGATTCTCCCTACAGCCCCCAAATAAGAACTCCTCACACTTTTCTTCGGCGCCATTGTAATGCCACCGAGGGAAAGAGCCGCGACACGGTCCAGCCTTCTTCGGAGCCATACAGTGGTCTGATGGGACACAAAATAAAAAGGATTACCTTTGAACCACAGCTAACTTACTCCACCACACATTAAATTTCACTAGTAACTTCACAGCCTGTATGTGTTCACTTGAAAATATGAAACCTGTCAACAGCTTATCAAAAGGCCATTTCTTTGTGACTTTAAGGGGAAACAAATGATGCTTTTTCTTATTTTCAGTAATATAAATACTGCTAGGATCCTATTAAACACGGCCAGAGTTTCAAGCTATCAGCTCAGCGTGTGTGTGCAAGAAACCCCTGTGAGGCAAAAGGATTCAGGTTGTTCTAAATTCTCACTCTTCCCTCATATATGTTTTATCACTCGGCTCTGGGTATGAGGACAGAAACCTCACACACCTGCTGTTCAAATATTATCTGTGTCAGGGGGCGCCAATTAAAGAAAGTTGGCTTAAAGGGCAATTAGCACCTATCCCTTTAAGACCAAGCACTCGTGCTGATAAGTCAAACAGTGGATGAATCAAGATACTGCACCAAGGCCCTGTGTTAAGATAAATAAGGATAATATGGGACTTTAATTCATCAAAATGACTCTAAAAGAGTCCAAATTGAAAAGTAGCTGAAAAGAAATCGTAAAACAGATCCCCATTAACAAATATAAAATGATACACTATTAGTCAGTGCTTTAAATGTTAATCAGATGACTTTCTGAAGCAAATTAACAATATGACACTTGCTTTAAGTCCATAATCCAATTTGATCAATCGTATGAGACAGGTGTGCTGTCTCATACGCGATACTTTATTTGATGAGATTCCCTTTGACTTGTGCTTCCTTTTTGTCTTGAGAGCAGACAGATAATTACTTATGAAACTGCCGTCCAGACAGAAAGAGGGAGCAGAAAAAAGAAGTGGAGAACAAAAGAGCTACAGATCATGCGAATGTGGTTAATGACACAAAAGATCATACAGATTCTTTTTACACTGGAAAAGGAAACGTAGCATTTGGAAGTATAAGCTGTACTTTAATCAGTAAGTTCTCATATTATTTCTTCATTCATGAATGGCAAGAATTGTCATGCAAGAGTCGCGGCACTGACACAAAGGCAAGTCTCAGCAACAATCACACATATTCCACAGAAAGCATTCCTGAACATTATTCAGCGCTAAACCTGTTAATGGGTAACTGAACCAACTGCATGGTTAGAAATCTTTTCTTGTCCTTCTCTGTATAATCAACCAGCAGATGCAGAACTAAGCAAAAGACAACCCCCTACCGCGCACACGTAATTTAAATTTTTTAAAAACAACAGATTTTAAATGACTTTTAATTAGTACGGACACCGACATTTACGGACATTGATGTTTTGTTTGTGCCGCCTAAGCAGAAACCAGACTGACAGGTTCTGCTGAGTTGGGGGAGGAGTGATGGTATCGGGGGAACAGTAAAAACCACAGCGATTGGAATCGCTCACTTCCGTTTTCTCCAGAGAGCGTCATGTCGCCTTACTGTGGTATTTTACAATAGAAGCGACCTGGATATTACTTCCCCTCACACAAAAGGAGAATATTAAACCAGTCGCTTGTGCTCCAAAGTTCATTTTCCTGCTACCAGCCCTCCTTCCCCAGAGTCTTAGAATTGGGTGTAATCTCTTTAAAACACGAGCTTTTATCCCTCTGTGTTCATGTTGTCATGTCACTCTGTCCACAGGAATGAGTCTAGCATGTTGTGACATGTCTGCCAACATTGAAGGACTTCAAGGAGCAACTGAAAACAAGCTGCTTGGAAATGTTTAATATTCCAGGGTCAGGGTGATGCAACAGAAAATTAATTAATTAAAATAAATAATCCATATATTTACAAAAAAATTTTTTGTAAATATCTGAATTAGGAAGTCTTGACCCCATTAAAGAAAATGTCAACAAATACAATACGGAGGAAAACATGACTCATTACAACTGAAACGGAACCATAGCTCCCGCCAGTCTATCAAGTAATGAAACATATCGGCCAACTCCAAGCTGAGATATAATTTCCAGCTTCGGACTGGCAGCGTGGTATTTATGTCATGAAGACTCTGATCTACAGGGTAAGGTTCTCTCTCCATTTAAAACTTAAAAACAGATACATGGACTGACTCTTAAATATCACTTTTCTGCTTCAGCATTCAAAGTGCTTTATACAGCAGCCTCAATAACAGAAATAAGCACCTTTGTTCTACACTTAAGCCTTCTATCTAACATTCAAACTGTGATCGTGCCAGAGGATACTTTGGCATACAGACTGGAGAAGTCAGGGATAGAACCACCAATCCTTCAAATAGTAGATTCCTTGCTCCATCTCGTGAGCCACGGCCACCACATAATTTAAATCCCAGTATGTTCAAATCATGCTGAAGGTTCAAACAGCCTCTTTCTTCAGACTAGATACTCACGCTCAGACTGCTCAGGAGTGAGGACGAGGACCTTAACATCGGTTGAATCCGACTGGCCGATAGTATCCGTAACAGTCAGCTGGAACCTGTATTTCCCAGATGTCAGGTTGGAAACAACCATTTGGTCTTTAAATTGGATGTCCTGTAGGGCATATAAAGACAGTGTCTCATGTTTTTTTTTAGTGAAACAGCAGGTGGATTCAATACAGTTATAGCAGATATTCCTATAAATAAATGCCATTGTCTTAAAATAATGGTGGTAAACTCAGGTTTGTCACTCTCCTCACCTCATAGACAGCATATAGATATTCAGTGAGCATTTTCCACTTGTAGGACACAATCCCTTTGTCATCTCTGCTTTTCATACCATTCAGTACCAGGCTTTCATGAGGCTGGATCACCTGGCCCGGACCTCCATCAGCCACTGGACGACGGTCATCAGTATCTAGAGCGAAACCGTGAGATTAGTGGGAATCACATTTTGACCAGTTTTAACAGAAAATGTAAAAGAAATAAGCAACAAGACAAAAACAGTACAAGCAACTAAACAAGCTGAAGACGAGATGAACATGCTAACCCTTCCAGGCATGTAGGAACACGCAAAACTGAAGATTACTGCCATAGATATGAAGAACAAGATATGCTTGTTATCATTAAACAAAACAAAAAAAATCGTGAATCAAAACTAGTGGGTTTAATTATCGGAGTGTACTAACAAATTTGGCAAATTCTTGACCTTTAAGCATTTAAACAGGACACCCTCATAATGTCTGTTGTGAAGTTGGGTTCCTTAGAAAAAAGAAATGTCACTACTGGATGTTCCCACAGTTATAGTCCGTATGCATGTCAGATATTCACAAAGGCATAACTAACAACACTATGACAAATATTCTTTTGTGAGTTTTGACCTTACCTGGGTCGGGGTGATTAACATGATACCTGGTAAAAATGCTCTTGTGGATGTAACTGTCGTATCCTTTCTTCCCAACAAAGTGGCAAACGTATTTCTGTTTGTACAGGCAATCAAAGAGAAAGCAGGAGCTGATCGTGCCTTCCTCCTCTCCCTCCTCCATGAAGGCGACATTGCACCTGGAATCTTTGCAGCAGGCTTGCACGCAGTCCTTGTGTCGATACAGTTTCGGCGACGAAATAAACGTCGCTCCGTCTTTCACAGATCCGTCGGCATCGAGCACAAAGTCATCCCGACCTTTCTCGAATTGGGCCAAGCATTCCTCACCAACCAGCTGACCAGCGGTGGTTACAACAAGTAACGAGAGCAGCAGCGCACACGCACCCGATCGTCCTTTAATTAATGAATACATTATTTTAAAATAAGAGTCCCACAATGGCAAATTGACGCAAATAAAATCCAGAAGTGAAAGTGAAATCGGTTCTCTCTCTCTCTCTATATATATATATAAACAGCCACAGTTGGGAAAACTTATAACAAAAAACAACCTAAAAAGAGAGACCAGTTTAGGCCTCAAAGCTAAACAACACTTCTCCTCCTCGGCAGTCGACTCTGATTAAACTCTCGAGAAACTAACAACTTCCTGATATTCCACAAGACGTATCTGAGTGCTACCACACTGATCTGACGCTTTACGAGACTGAAACTCAGAAGAGATTAACCTGTTTGATGTCGGCAAAAACCACGGACTCAACGACATAGCCCAGGTGACTCACCTGAGATACAGGAAGTGAAATTCCACTCTTGAGCCGCGCCACTCCCTTCTCTCGCCTAACAAAACAGGGACAGAGGACCGAGCGTGTGAGTGTAAAGCAGCACTGTAAACACCCGGGCGACACTCTAGTCAGTCATTCGGTCCTCAACCTTTAGGGTTGATTTCAAGTTACATTAGTAGATATAAAATAAAATAATATCAGTCAGCAATAAAACAACTAAACAAAACACACGTATTTATTTTAACGCTATACAAACGACTGTTTTTTGTTTTTTTTTAAAAATTAATTAGTAAATGAGATAAATCTAAAAATCTGTCAGATAAACCAGTCGTGGGCAACAAGAGAAAATACAAATATTAAAATGAATGAATATAGAAAAAATACTATTAAATCTTCTTTCATAGTAATCAGAAATGTAAAGCGAAAACCAACATTAAGATCTTGAGAACACTGCGTGCCACCAGTTTTAACGTTCATGCGCACTGAAGTCTGTCGATCTGCATTGAGGGGATTAACGCTATTTAACGCTATCTATCTATCTATCTATCTATCTATCTATCTATCTATCTATCTATCTATCTATCTATCT